GTGGTGGCCCTGGATCTTGGATCCAGGTGGGTGGGGGGTGATGGGGGTGGGTGCGCTTGCTGGTCTGTCGTTGTCATGTTTGCAGTCCGGGTCGTTTGATGCATTCCAAGGTATTTGTTGCTGTCCAGGGTGTTGTGTGCAGTCCGGTATGTATGGGTGCAGTCCACGCTTCGGTGCGGGACACCTTGAGTGGTGCAGTCTAGGGTGTCTTGGTGAAGTTTGTGATGCAGTCCAGGGTTTTGCGGTCCAGTCCAGGATTTGGTGCAGTCCAGGGTGTTTGGTGCTGTCCTCGGAAGCAGCTTTACCAAACGCTCGGCATTGCACCACACCTGCTGTGCATACCGCTTGCGCGCCCCCCGCGCTCGGATTGCGACGGCCGTCGCGCACGGTGGCGGCCACACACAGGCCGTCCCCAAGGCTTTTCGCTCCCGGCCATCTGGCCGCTCGCTCCGCCGCCTCCCGCCACACACCCTGCCCTCACATGCGCGTTTCCCACACCGCCCTGTTTTTCAACAGCGCGTACCGTCGTATGGTGTTCAACTTTGCTTGGGCCTACGGCTACAACACCCTCGCCATCCCGCTCGCCGCCGGCGCCCTGTACCCAGCTACCCACCAGCTGCTGCCCCCCTGGATCGCTGCGCTGGCGATGGCAGCCAGCAGCGTCAGCGTCGTCTGCAGCGCGCTGCTGCTGCGGCTGCACCGGCCGGCGGCGGACGCGGCCGCACTGAGGGCGGCCGGCGGGGGCCGCGGCGCGTGATGGAAGGGGGGTGGGCTGCTGCGCGCTGCGCTCGCGCGGCGGCCTCTTGCTCTGGGGGTCATGGCAGACCCTTGCCTCTGTCAGTTGCGGCAGTTGTTGAGCCTCCACTTTGCCATGCATGCGCCCTGGCCCACAATCCGCAGGGCGTTTGCTGCGTTGGGTGGGGGGTGTTGCGCACGCGTGGCCGCGGTTGCGCGCGCCTGCGCGCACGGCTTGTGGGCTTGACGCGCGTTTGCGGCGCGCTGTTTGGTTGATGGGACGCAGCGGCCGGCCGGCGGTTCCCCCTGTCAACAATCTCGTTCCGACTCGTCGGCCGTTTTGCCTGCTAGAATCACAGCAGGTGTTGGGTCACGTGCATGGTGCATTCGGATGTCAAAGAGTGGGGACGCATGTGTATATATGTGTGTGTGCGTCGCAGCGCTTTGGTCGAGGCCAGCCTGTTGGACTTCCTTACGACTCACCCCTGATCAGCCGGACTGCCAGCGCTCAGTATTAGCACTGGTCTGCACTGGCTTCCAGACTGCACTTTGCCAAGAGCACGTCCTGAGTGCACCTTGCTGCACGGTTGCGCTGACGCTGCTGGTTGCCTCTATACAGCTCTTGTGACGTGCGTGCTTTGCCCTTATCACAACGGCTACACCTGGACTGCCCTCCGCGGGCGGCGCCTGTCCATCAGTGTGGATTGCCAGAGCATCTCAAGGTCGGCTGCTCACCGGAGCCAACACGTGCACGACTGCACGTCAACAATACACCTACCGCGGCCCTTCACATGCATTGCTTGCCGGTTTGCCGCGCCTTTTCATGCTGGCGCCATGGCGCCAAAAGACCTGCTGCGCGGGTCGTCCCCGTATCTTTTTAAGGCTTGCTGTCGACTGCTGGCCATCCCTTTGGCGGAGCATAAGGTATTCATACATATGGCGGCGCTCAACAATGCGCTGCAATGCCGGTTGCATTTCAGCGCCAACCTCGCCATCTTGGGGCCGCAATGTGCTGGTCCAATTCACTCGCGCTCGCAGGGCACCTGGGGCGACCCTGAGCCCTTACCCCTTTGTTCCATAGCCTTCCTATACGTTAGTACCCAGCCACATATCTGGTTGCGCCCGCACCTTTTTGGGGGCAACTCCCAGGCCCAGGTCTCCCAGCAGGGCCGGCGCCCCACCCATGCTGTTGCCCTCTTACTCTTAACCCACGAACACCTCAAGTGTTTGCCGGTGCGCGGGCTGGGGCTCTTTTTGGGTGGGAATCAGCGCGGGTGTGCTCCCAGCCCATCTGGGGCGTCAAGACTCCACAGACCCATGCTCACGTGTCCAACTTTCCCGTCGGATGCAGGCGGCGGCGTTGCTCCGCAGGCTATCTTGTAATGACCAGGTTGCAGCAGTTGAAACAGCACAATGTTGCTGCCCCCATCTTCCCGCGCGTCACTGGGTCGGCCGACGCTGGACCTGCCGGCCGCGCAAAAAAGATAGATGAGGCACTAGTGGTTCGGTTGGGACGCGCTTGGCTCCCTGTGCCAGCCCCCGCAGCAGTGCGTACACCGCGTAGAGGACGTGAGACCTGCTGCCCCGTCCACACACGGCCTGGTCATGCATGCTTGCGCCATTGCTGGTTGGTCCTGCTGGGTGTCCTGTTGGGTGGCTCCGCAGTGGGAGCAAGGGGTGCTTCGACACAAGACACCCTACTCGTCATGCCTCAAACGACAAAGCACCACAAAAAGCCTCAAAGCAACGCTGCCACATGGTCATGTCAAAGCAAAGACTGAGCAGCCGAGACGGTGTGGCCAGGGGGGCGGCGCTGCAGCATCCACCAGCGAAGCACAACACCAGAGCATGGACAAAATTGTAGCATGCATGCAACCTAGGAGTCATGCCCAGAAGCTACGCAAACAAGTCGACAAGAACATTAGCAGACACACAGATTGGTCCGGCCTGTGTGGTTTGCTGCTACAATGAGACCGCAGCGTTGAACTTCTTTGAATGGAAGCCAGCCAGCGTGGGAGCCCACCGGCCCTCAAAGGATGCGGTAATCTCACACCGCTTCAGAAACGCGACACGCAATCACTCAACGCCGACAGCCCAGACGTTGACCGCCGACCCTCAGACAACCTCTGCCAGGCATGAACCCTCATCAACAGCTGCAGACGGACAATCAAAAGTCACGGCAGCCCCTCAGGGCCACTCGAAATCAGAGAGGTCGATGAGCACCTCGTTGCGCCTCAGGAACGGCGGCGTGAAGGGGTCGTTGTAGCGAGCGAGGCGGTACCCGATAGCCGGCTGCAGGCCGTCCCGCAGCAGCGCGCCTCGCAGGTCACGCTCCGCCGCCACGACCTCGAACTCGAGGGGCCACCCGGGGAACTTTGCGGCTGCGGGGTTGCGCGGTTGGGGGGGTGGGGGACGCGGAGTGGGGCCGGCGTGGATGGGTTCGGAGAGTGGCCTGACGCGCCGGTCTGGGATGTTTTGACAGCAGGTGGGTATGACGGACAACAGGCGGGACGGCTGAGGAGCACGCGGGGGAGCCACGAGAGGGGCGATGTGTGCCGGGCTACCAAAAAAAGCGGTGGCCCCATGTGCCCCGTGGTCATGACCCCCCTTGAGGGGAGCTTCCCCCTCCGCCCACCTACCCGCGACGTATCTCGCGCCTACGCGCTTCGTCTCAACCCGCGAGTCCAGTGGCGCCGGCAGCGCCTCGGGGCCGGGGAAGCGCTCCTCCATTGGGAACTGCATGCGCGCGCCGCCGCCGTCGGGGGAGGGCTCGCTGAGGACGGGGGTGGTCATCTCCATCTTGGCACGGGTGGAGTTGTTCCCAAAAATGTAGCCCGCCAGCTCCTGGAAGCCATTGCCACCCGCCGGGGCTGTTTTGTTTTGTTTGGGGGGGAGAGGTTGGTAGGAGGTAGGCATGTTGGTAGCCGGCGCAGGATCCGGTTTGGCTATGAAGTGGCTGCGTTAGTGGGAGTCACCAGCAGCAATGGACGTCGCATGGGGGCCCCCTGACCGAGCAACTTCGACCTCATGACATCACCCGTGTTGGTCCCGTGAGCCCCGACGAGCAACCGCCCCACACCGTGCGCGGCCACCCCACCCCATCGTAAACGCCTCGGCCCCCACGCAATCGCCCCGCCCAACAC